TTTTTTATCTTTTTTGTTATTTTCTTCCTTTGTAAGTAACTTAATTCTTCGGATAAGAAAACTTTATATTATTTTCTACAACACCCCTGAGTTTGCATTCGTGTCATAATATTAACACACACACACACACACATAAACAGACACACACACACACACACACACGTATGAAGTAACGTAGCTTGGAGAAAAATCTTTTCCTTCTCTAACTACATTAATTACCGATAATTAAATTTTCTCACTTTTATGTATGACCTATTATTAAAATAATAATTAAATTATTCTTTACAGATAAATAAATATTTATATATATAATTATGCATAGAGAACTTGCAGTACTATAATTTTGATGGAAGAATAAATTTTAAAATTATTTGTCATAAGTAAGTAAAAAATGAGAGACAGGGGGAGATATAATATAAAGTTATATTTGTCATAAGTAATGTAATTTATTTGACTAAAAGGGATAAAATTTTTATAAAAGTAAAATAAAAAGTATCATCTACATATATTAGATACTACCATTCATATCCATGTGAAATGTATCTCGAAAATAGTGAGTAACCTCTTTACTTCGACATAACAGTTTAACTGAACTTAGGTTTCTTTTACTAAGATCAATCATGAATATGGAAAAAAACAAAAGAAAAGAAAAAAAATAAGACAACTTAGAATCGAACATAACATCAAATTTTGATTATATTATAGGTAAAAAAAAAATACATAGATATTTCAAACTATTATTAAAAAAATAGAAATGACAACATAAATTGAAAGAGTTAGAGGACATCAGAGAGGTGCAACTCAAAATTGTCAAACTGAAGAGAAAATTTATATTGATTTTGGTCTGTATTGTTTAACTAAAAAATAAAATAAAAATGTTTAATTTTTTTTGGTTGGTATAAGTTATTTATTTTTTTTTCAAATTAATGAAAAGGCATTCTATACGATGTGCATAAACTTTTTGCCATCATTTTAGATTTTTTTATTGGTCCATAATTATAAAATTATAATTTCTGAATAAAATACATAACAAGTTAATTTATTGTTTTTTTATTCGTATATCTATATTGTTTTCATAAGAATAATGGAAAGATATTGTCTTTGTCAAAACATTACGACAAATAAAGTTTCGCACGAAATAGTACAAATACGACAACTATTTTTTTCTTTTTATTTTTTATCATTCATCACAAGTGTTAGCTTTACATTTTATTGTTTTAGTGTTACATATTATAATTTAAGTATTTTATTCTTATTGCTTTGCAAGAATTATATCAATGTTTATTTCTAACAAAATAAGCTAAATATGGTTCTCATAAAGTTAGCGCAAAATAAGTGTCGGTTATTGATCTGAACATTGAGGGTGACACATTTTAATCGTTACCTTAATATGATTTATAAATATAAAGAAAAAATAAAATTTGAAAGTATATAAAAAAAAACTAATTTGATATATATAAACAATTATATTTTTATTTTTCTACTTTTAGATGGACGTTTATTGTTACAATTTGTATACAAAGTAAAAGTTAAATGATTTAGTGCTTGAACATGACATCGAATTTGATTTTATTTGCGAGTAAGAAATGGACTAATACTGCGAAATTATATTGGGAAATAAAAATAATAGTAATAACTAAAAGAGTGAGGGTGTCTCAACCATAAGGGAGACAAGAGTGATGGACGATATTGACTATATAGACAGAGTAGGACAATGTATATTTATCATTCAATTATTTAATATAATGTTTGGTGTATATGTGGTCTTTTGTAATAGTTTTGGTCCTAAATCATTGAATAATTTGAGCCCAAAATACATAGTTTGTTTATTTTTTTAGTTGATATCATTTGTTTCATTTGGACTTAAATTTGAGGTCATCTAAAGTTACTAAAGTGACTGCCTACAGTTAATCTCTTTATTGATCCACAATTATGCAACTATAAATTTCGATTAATAAAATTAGCATAATGCGTTAACTATTGCTAATTGTTTGTTATTATGACACATGTTTTTCGCTTAAGATAATTACAAGAATATATTATCGCTACTGAATATTTGCAATAGATAAAGTTCAATACGACTTACTATAATGTATCAACTACTTTTTCTTATCATATTTTATAGTTGTTAGTGTTATCAAAATAAATTGTACTATTTTATAATTTGTATAATATAATTTAAATGTCATTTTTTCATCATTTGACGAAATTATATTAACTTACATTCCACATGAGTTATGTGGAAAAAATAAGTAATTTGTTATTGACATGAGCATTAACGATTATTGTGCATATTTGTAACTTTACATAAGGTGACCAATCTTGCACGTCATTCTGAGCACCATCGGACTTATTTTGCAAATAAACGAAGTTAATATTTATTTAGCAAATTATAAAAAGTGAAAGATATGTGGACCTAATTTTAAGGTAAAGCATGCGCGGTTCAAAATTGAGTCATTTTTGTATTTTTTCTTAAGTATTTAATTTGTTTTGTTAATTTTAATTGGCTCATATTTTGTACATGTTTATTTCAATTATTATATATAGTATTAATAATATGTTTAGTTATTAATGAAAAAAATTATGTCATTATCAAAATATTATAGGCAAAAATTTCAAGGAGTGTTATCAATGTGACAAATACATTGGATATCACAAATGTTTCTTTAAGTTGAATTTATTTAATTTGAAACTATTTATTACAAAACATGTTGTATTTTATAATCACATCCATTATATGTTTATTGTTTTTATAGTCACGGACCTCTATTGTCTGATGATTATTATTTTATGATGATAATGGTAATAATGAATACAGTTCATCCAATAATAATGTTATATTTAGGAAAACAGTTTAAAATATAATGAATAAAATTTTCATTTTACCTTTTATTATCTCTCAACATATTTTCTTAATATTATTTATTTATTTAAATAATAATTCATTTCACGACATAGTTTTAATATCAGGCCGCGCAACGCGCGGGTGGCGTACTAGTTTAAATTATAAGTGGGAATCAAACAACAAAAATCTACATCCAAAAAGTAAACAGAGCAATAGTAAATTAATTAATGACACCCACAATACTTAATTTAATAAAATATCATCATAGAAGCATTTCTTGAAGGCGGCTATGTACTCCTCCTGCAGCCATATCACGATGTTGAAGGACCCATCCCCATCACGGCTGGGTATAATGAACGTCTTCCCGTCGAAGCCCACTGGTCCTGGGCCCATATGTATCTCCTTACCCCACCCGAAGTCGGCCCCATAGAGCGGCAGGCCGGTCCAGCTTATGATCGCCAGGTTAGGGTTCCCGTAGAAATCTCCCTTGGGCCGGCCGTTATTGTCCAGCGTCCTGAATCGGCCCACGTCCGGCAGGCCCTTCAAGAAATCCAGGTAGCTCCGGACCGACTCGTCCGTCACCTTCCCGACGGCCTCCCGGATTTTCCGGCAGGCAGCCCCCAATGGGCTGGAGAGCAGGCTACCGGATTTATCGGTGGCTTCTACGCGGATCAAGGCGTTGCCGAAGTAGTTTTTAGGTAGCGGGGGATTCAATTTGCTGCGGAAGTCCGCCACGAAGTGGAGGCTCGTCGGTTGTTCCGCGGCGTGGCCTCGAGCCTTGCTCGTGCACCGCCAGATGTGGGCGGCAACCGCCTCGAATCGGCTGAAGCCGCGGCCGACGGCGCCGACGGCGGCATCGGCGGATGCCCGGCCCCGGAGGCTTTCGATCTGGAGGCGGGTGAGGCGGAGGAGGGAGGCGGCGACCGGCTTGGATTTTTGGGCGAGGTGGTCTGCCTCGCCGAGGAGCGTCGGCGGGGGGCGGAGTGCGGTGGCGTCGAAGGCGGCGGAGGACGGCTGGAGGGCGGGGGTTTCGAGTACGCGGCGGTCGAGGAACGGCGGGGCCGCCGCCTCGGCGGCGGCACGGGAGATCTTGGCCCACTCGTCGACGAAGTGGAGGGCGCTGGGGCCGTCGGCCATGACGTGGGAGATGCCGAGGCCGAGGGCGGCGCCGCCGCACCGGAAGAGGGTGAGCTGGGCGACGACGAGGGGGATCTCGTCGATCGGGGTGGTGTAGTCGACGGAGGGGATGAGGGGGGCGAGCGCCGGCGAGGGTGTGAAGTCGCCGAAGTCGTCGACGGAGGAGGGGGAGTCGGCCTCGAGAATGTGGACGCCGGCGGCGTTGCAGCGGAGCTCGACGCGGCTGCCGCCGGCGGGGGACCAGGAGAGGCGGCCGGCGAGGGGGTAGAATGGGACGAGGGCGCGGCTGAGGGAGTTGATGAGGCGGTGGACGGCGGAGTGGAGGTCGGCGGACGGGCGGTAGAAGTAGATGGTGGGGGTGTGGAGGATGTCCTTGATCTGGTCGCAGGCGTTGAGGTACATCACCTCGTCCGGCGTGGGCTCCGCCGGCCGGACGACGTGGGTTGCTTTGATGGTTACCACTACCATTTTTCTGATTTTTATTTATTATAATAATTATTATTACGTATTTATTTATTTTTGGGGGGTTTTAGAATAAGTAAGAAAAATAGCAAAAACTTGGAGTGTATATATATAGAGAGAGTGGTAGGAAAATGAAAATTGGTGTTGGAAAGGGTTGAAGGGTAGCTGAGTAGGTATTCAACTAACCCCATTTGTCGTGGGAAGATGTTAGGGATTTTTCTTTTTCTTTTTCTCATTTATCTATTTTTTTTGTTTGGGTAATATATAATTTTTTCGATTCATAATTTTGGAAAATGTTGCGGTCTCGTTATGGTATCATCTCGTCGGTTGTTTTAATAGTTGGATACACATGTAGTTAGTATAAGATAGATAATCCAACGATTATAATGGAATGTTACCATTACGGGACCATAACATTTCTTCATGATTATGCGATTCGTAATAGTTTTATTTTTTCTAATTAACAGTTGATAGTTGATTGCATTTCAAATTTGCTTAGGGTACGATTAAATAAAGAAGAAAGAGAATTTCAAATATCAACTTTTTCAAAACCAAGAAGAGTCGTTAAATAAAACTCTTTAAAACCATAAAATTCATAAAAAAAAACTAGATTTCTAGTTTGTCCATTAATACAAGGATTTTAAATAATATTAAAATAAATAAGTTTTTTAGTTTAGAATATCGCTAATAATCATGATAACAAACTAGGGCAAATAATTAAATTAAATATTCCAAATATCCTAATCTACATCAACCTTTGTGGTCACTGAAATTATCACCATATGCCACTTAACATTAAAACAACTAATAGATTGGCCACACATAAAGTTGTCTTTATTTTTTTCCTCAAATAATGTGCTCAAATTATTTTTTTTTCTCATCAAGTTGTTTGGTGATAACCGACCAGACCCCACCAGTGACATCACCAAATTGTAGTATACAATTTTCTTTATGAAGTATTGAGGAATTATGTCGTCTTTGTTAGGTCTTTGTGTTGTATTGTTTTCAGTTTGTTTTCTAGCGTTGCTAGTCTGGCTCTAGGCAGTCTTATGACACGTCTTCCTAATTTTCAGCTGTTGGTTGTACTTTTCATCAAAAGGTTGTGTACTTTGCACATTTGTATATTTTTTATATATCCTCCATCATTTTTTTTTTTAAATAATAAAAAAAAAAAGAATAATGTTTATAACTTGATGAAATTGCTGAAAAACGACTACAAGGGAGACAAATTAAATTTGCTTATTAAACTGACATGTAATTTGTAATGGAGAAAAATACAATAACCTTGACATGATATATAATACATTATAGTTGACCTTACATGTCATTTTCTTACTCTTATCTTCTTGTTTGATTAGTTTTTTTAAATGATCATTACATTTATGATTTTTACTGAATGTTGGGGCGGAGCCAGAATTTAGAATTTACCCGGGCTAAAGTCATTTTAATGAAAAATTTCATTTCATAAATTTAAAATTCTTGTATGGAACATCCTATTGCTATGGGGCCGAATCCTATACTTTTTATTTTTTTATTTTTCAAAAAAATGCATATTTATATAATGAAATGTCGTACTTATATATGTTGTTGTTAAGTGTATGACATGTCAGGTCGAAAGCATGTCAATTATTAAAAAAAAATATATGACTGTCTAACTGTTATATTTGTGTAAGAGTTGTAAGACTACTGATAAATTACGATTATGATCGGTTTTAAACAGTAAATTTAACCTAAATCAACACTGAATAAAAAAGTAAATTACTACTAAATGAACCACTAATATTTAGTGTTGATTAATTAGTGTAAAGTATATATATTGAAAATTAATGAAATGATTAAAGATTGATAGTACAATTGATAAATAAAATAATATTCAAACATAAATAAAATGTATAGTCAATAAATAAAACAACATTTAGACATAAATAAAATATATAGTTAGGATATTCAATATAGCATAAGATTACAAAATATAAAATAATGGCTAAACTATATGATGCTTAGGAAGACAGTCTTATTACATTCATCACTAAATAAGTACTCACTATTTATTAACTTAGCAAGATAAATATCTACTCCCCTAATCTTAATATGCTAATAAGTTCATAAATCACTAACTACGTACAAATGGAAACCTGGCAGAATTTATGTTAAATTACCCTACCGGGCTAAGTTAAAATATGTACATGAAACGTATCTAATTACCATCGAACTATCTAATTTTGATTAATAATTATCGATTCTATATACAATAAATAAACCTACTATATTCTCTAATTATTTAAATAACATTAATATAATTTTATTAATATGGTAGGATTGTATAGAAGATTGACTCTACTATAGAGCCAACTGTTGACTCCATAGCAAAACCGTAATAATTGTATAATGTATAATGTATATGTCATATTTTTTCTTAAAAAAAAAAAAATACTTGGTCAAAATATTTGGTGTATGAGAAAACAAAAAACATTTCAATAATTTTGATAGAACGAGTGGCAATGGTTACATTGTACAAACCCAAAAATTCCTATCATATGTTGTGACCAGCCAAATTATTGTACTATATTTTATATTATAATGAACAGCTTGAGTATAAAAAGTCCAACGGATTGATTGGTCAATTTGTGCGCCAAATTATTATATAATAAGAAAAGGATAAGAGCAAGTGGTAGGTGCATATGCATCTAATTCCATCTTCACGTGCCCCTTTTGTGTATCCACAAACTTTTGAGCAAATTCACAACTATGTTAGATTTAATTAATTTTATGTCTTACATCGGATGTATACCAAAAATATGTAAAATTTTATTAGTATAAATAGATCATTTACCTTTAGATTATAATGACACATTATTCTATTATCTCATATTTAGAAAAAATTCCTATTTTGTGGGTTATATAACCCTAGTTGTATTTTATTGGTGAGTTTAATAAATTTAGCGTTGCGGTTGGCGGTGCCCGGAGACGTAGGCTATTTTCGCCGAATTCCGATATCATTTTTTGTGTTCTTTTTATTTCTCGTCTTTTATTTGTGTTGACTTATTTTGGAGTAGTGCTTGCCATATTTGTTGGAGGGGTATTTTTGTCCGCTGCGCTTGTTGTGATACCCCAACAAGTGGTATCAGAGCCATGGTTGGTAGCCCAGTTGTGATGTGGATGACGTGGTATGTTCCCAGTAGAGCCGGAAGGGCCAGTGAATCCGTGTGCCTTGTGTCGAAAGTCTTCCTAGCGAAAGGGTGTGGTCAGGCGGCGGGTTCCGTTGGTGATGACGGCGGTACAAGATGGTCGGATCGTATGAATTTCGTTCAAGGGGAGACCAAATGTGGTTTTGTGTTTGAGGGGAGTTTGTTGGGTGTGCAAACCCAATGCCATATCGAAAGATTAAAATTTCCAAGTCAATATATAAGCTTGGTGGACTATTTCTTCTATTGTCAATTGGTTTTAGAATGTAACCTCATTTAGGCTTGTATGTTAGGTTTGATGGAGAACTGAGTTTTGAGTTATTGGTATTAGCAATTGGTATCGGAGAATTGGGTGAATAATGTTCAAATCCGTTTTGAACATGATTCTGCATTTTAATATATAACTTAATTTCCTATATATCTCTTACTTTTATCAAATCAACTTTAATCAGTTTATTTTAAATAAATATAAACTTACAATCCCACTAACAATTGACTATACAATTTAATTGGTTTGTATTATTTAATTATATGAATAATATTAAAAATAGTGGAATATTGGGGTTAAGTTAAACTTGGGTTAGATTTTAAATATAAAATAAAATTGAGTGGAATAATTCATAAACAAGCAGCCCGAAACTCCTTCTTGCTAGTTATTCTTTGGGATAAATATTCTCCTCGTTGATCATCCGACGTCGTGTGTGTTTTATGTATTTTTGTTCGTTTACCTTACTATAACTGTAATCACGCCCGTTATCCTAATTTGCACATCAATACCACACAACTTTTATAAATTAGTCTCGTTATTATTTCATATTCATTTGAAAAACAAAATAAATTAATTATAGATTGATGATTCGTATATAAAAATATTGAAATTTGTATTCGATTTAACTAGTGGTCAATAATTTATGCACATAAAAATATTGAAATATATCATGTTTAGATCAAGATAAAAAATATAATTATAAAAAATATTTAAATAAATATTTTTTAATTATGAAAAAATTATTTTTTTTTCTTATTTCAACCTTCCGGGCAAAAAGGGGGCGGACGAGCCGAAGAGGTTGTTTTGTACTTACTTGCCCGCTATCCTAGGCAAGATGCGTTGGTTGATCCGGAAACATGACCAGATCCATGAATCGGGATCCTGATGCATATAGATACAAATGGTCCAATGGGAGCAAGAATTTTCAGGAACATTTGTTTCCTTTAATAAGTGCAATTGCTATCGCTCGTCAATGGACAATTGCTAAGCTTAGTGTGTGACTCGTTGGTTTTTGTTATTTATAGGACTCATTACCAATATTTTCTTATAATATTAATCACTTTAGTTCAAACTTTCGTATGAATATTATGGGATTAATTATATTATAAATATTTTTATTACTTTTTAATTATTGAATTATTATAGGAGACACGCAAAGGGGTGACACTAATCATCATAGGGAGAGTGCAATGCCCCACTCACACTATCCACGATAGTCATGATCGATCTCGTGACCTTTGACTTTAAAGGGAGTTTCACCATCCGCGAGTCACCACTTGACATTTGGCTTCCAGGGTTACTTAGCGGCCTAGAGCTGTAAACGAACCGGACATTCGCGAACAAAAGCTCGTTTGTTCGTTTATCGAACTGACTTCGAACAGAAAATTAGGCTCGTTCAATAATCGAACGAACATGAGCACGTTCGCGAACGTTCGATAATGTTCGCGACCATTAATAATATAATTTTTTTTTGTATGTAGTTACATAATACTTTTAATAGAAAATGTGAAATATAAAATTATTTTTATTTTATGTTTTTTTATTTTTATATTATTTGCATAATATTTTTTAATAAAAAATCTAAAATATAATTTTTTTTTATTTTCAGGTTCGAATGACTTCGAACAAACAAATTTCAAGTTAATCAAACATATTTAAAAGTTTATGTATTAAATTATTCGAAGACGAACGAACTCGAACTTTGACGAACAATTAAACGAACGAGCTCGAATACGATTTTTAGCTTGAAAAATAAACGAACAAACACGAACACTGTTTGAACGTAAACGAACACGAGCTCGAACAATCCAAGCTCGGTTCCGTTCGGTTCGTTTACAACACTTAGGGGATACTTATTTTGAAACGAATATAATGTGATTTATTATCAGTTATATGCACCACACGTGTTGTGTACTAATTTTAAATAGACTTTTATGTTATTTTGTACAATTTAAACTTGATATAACATTTTCAATAAATTGGAATAGATAATTGTATTACATATCAATTCCATATTTTTAATATATAAATATTACTTATTTTTTTTTTATTTATAAATATTAGTGAATATCTGTTACCCGTGCACTGCACGGAACTCGTACTAGTTTTTACACATCACATTAACTTTAATTCACTATTCATCCACTAATATAATTTTAACTAATCGTCACTTCCAATCATTTTCTTCTCCTTTTACCTCAACTCAATTTTAATTATTTTATTTTAGATATTAATTTAATTTATCCACTAACAACTAACAATATTAAAATTTTAAAACTTAACTATAATTAAAAAAATTAATTTTTTTACTAGTTGAATTCAAGTTGATCCGAAAAAAAATTAATATCCAATCCCCCCCCCCCTAGCGCTGATTGGTATTACCGCGGGATTTTGTATCCTTCACAACCTCAAAAGAACTTCATTTTGTATGCAGATTGCAGAACATTCAGCAAAATATTTAAACCCCATCTAAAACCTCCCACCTTATCACCCTTTGCGACTCCGAAAATGCCCATTATCCTGCACAATCTCACTCTTGTCAACAAATTTTCCTTTTCGAGCTACGAATTCCCTTTTAAATCTTGCAAACAATCTTGCAAATTTCCCCAAATTCTTCGTGTAAGTTGTGCACAGAAAGCCAAAAGGACAGGAAAATTGAGGTACCCATCTGAGAAAAAGAAGCTAAGACACCAGAAAAAGACCAAAATTGATGAGGAGAAGAAATTCGAAGGCGTCTGGAGGCTTTTTAGGCTCGGAGTTCCCGTTCACGAAGACCCTGGAAAAGATTTCTGGAGTGTCTCCGAGGCTCTGCTTAAAGCGATAGCCAAAGTTCTTGAATTTCCGGTCGAAATATCTCCTTTTTTATTGCTTGCTCGTGCACAATTTGTGAAATTTTTGTTAGTTTGTGACATTATTAAACCTTAAATTTCTAGTTTTGTTCAAGTGTTCTTATGCAAATGTCTCTAGCATGCCCTTTCAGTGCCAACTTAATTGCAGTTTATGTTTTGCAGGTACCATCCATGTTGCCACCTGAGGCGTTCACGGTGATCAGAAAATCATTTGATGCGAGGAAGGTATGTAAAGCTTGAAGCTTTAGTTGTTTTGTCATAATGTATGCAGTTTTCAACTCATTGGTGATGACATCTTGACATTTGATTGGCTTCCATTTACTTTCTCCATTTGTGTTCCTCTTAACATAACAATCAATTCCTAATTATTTGAGGGTACACTTTTAATTATTTTTATGAGCTTACATTCCACATTTAATGTGGTTAAACTGTGTTAAGGCATTTTTCTTTACACGGCATGTTGTTTGTTAGAGAAAGACTGATTGATGGAAGCTTGTTTAAGATTCTGTTATGCAAACTTAAATTGGTGTTTTGTTTCCGTTTCCCAAGAATGCACAGTTGAAGGTAAATCTTCAATGCAGGAAGATCCTTACCTGTTGCTAAATTCATGGAATATTTCCTTTTCTATGCAATAATAAATGATGGTGTTGGAAATCGGTTCCGTGAAGGTACTATGGTGTAGGATGACTTGAGAGTTTCACGAATGTAGGATATGACTGATATTCAGATTTTCTATCAAGTAGACTTTGGATATGTGATAGTTACTTTAACTCTGGCATGATAGTGTATATGGCCTGTATATGTCGTCTACAAATGGCATATTGTTTTCATTCTGGTGTGGTAACTTGATGTGAACCTTTTTCTAATTGCTTGCTCAATTTAGAAACCCTCATACTTGTATAGTTGTATGTCAATTTTCAGAACTTCTAAGAGTTGTTCAATAAGCACTGATGGATTGAGATCATAAGGCCCCTCAACCTTGTGGACATATATTATATGGCTCGACATATTAAGACTCCTACCTGCACTAGATTTCTAACTTTCTTCTTCTTTCTGTCGTTATGAATTTCTCTTTCAGTATTATGATTACATTCTTAAAAAATTATAAAAAAAAATCGAGAGATTTGCATATGATCAGCCATTTTTTTTTTTTCTACTTAATCTTAGTTGCAGAAGGAGAAGAAGTTCGTATATACTGTGGATATGGATGTTCATAAACTCATTAGCATTGAGCCTCGGACCGTGGAGTTTGTCTCTGAGCTGGAACCGAAAGCTGGGTTTGTGGAGTTTTTACATCACAGCAGCATTTCTGGTGATTTAATGAATGTAATACGCAATCACAGGAGTATAGGTGAAACTGATTCTTCTAGTGAAGCTGTCCACAACAATCGATTCACAGGAGGTTACATTTCTACAACCAGAAGAAAACCAAGAGTAGTAGTCGTCGGTAGTGGGCCCTCGGGACTGTTTGCTTCCCTTGTGCTTGCTGAAGCTGGTGCTGATGTCACACTAATCGAAAGAGGGAATGCAGTCGAACAAAGAGGACGCGATATTGGTGCTCTGGTAGTCCGCCGGATGTTACAATTGGAAAGCAATTTTTGCTTTGGGGAGGTCATATCTTTATCCGTATAGTATTTTATTTTAAACTTTGTCTTTTAAATTTTTTATTTTTAATTTTATTTATAATGTCAGGTTATAATTCCCATTGTATCGTCATTTTCCATTAATTTTATGCGTGAAATTTCTTGGCATCTGAGAGTTGAAATTATTAGATGATTAAGTAATTGACTAAAAGAGTATCTACTGGAGGAGTCTCATTTTGGACTCTGGTTAAATCACTTGTCTTTTGATATCAAATAGGATGTGAAATGCATTTCGTTAACTTCTTAAGTTGTCTTTTAATACCAAACAGGAAAATTACTCAACTTAGTAATCCGTTTAAAGCTATCATAGAGCATTTTAGTTCTGCATTCAAGTTCAAGAAAGTAGGACTTTTTTCTACTATCGTAAATGAGTTCTTTTCTCATAGTACATTAATTGCCACTCTTCATTTATTATAGACTTATGTATGGCAGGGTGGTGCAGGTACTTGGAGTGATGGGAAGCTGGTAACAAGAATTGGACGAAATAATAGTAGTGTTTTGACAGTAAGTGTTTCTCTTTCTTCTTGCTGTTGATGGCACTTATGTTTTGCACCTTTTTATTCTAATTTCTAAGGACATTTGACGTGCTTCTGAATTTATTTTAGCTTACAGATTTGTTTATTTATTTATTTATTTTTTCATCTTTAAGGTTCTGAAGACATTGGTTCACTTTGGTGCTCCATGTAGTATATTAGTTGATGGGAAACCTCATCTGGGTACTGACAGATTGATTCCACTTTTACGAAACTTTCGCCGGCACTTGCAAGAGTTGGGTGTGAGTTTCATATGTAGTTGAACTAATCTGTAAACAGATTTTCTTTCCTTTTTTTTTTTTTTTCTTGTTCTTATTTCTTACTATAATTATGCTTAGGTGACTATCCTATTTGGGACAAGGGTAGATGATCTTCTAGTGAAAGGCGAACGTGTTGTAGGTGTTAAAATATCCGATTCAGGAGATAGCTCTAAGTCCGGTTGCCATAACTTGGAATGTGATGCTGTAGTTCTTGCAGTGGGGCATTCTGCACGGGACACTTATCAAATGCTACTTTCCCATAATGTGGACATCATTCAGAAAGATTTTGCTGTGAGTGCTGATTATAATATTTGTTATGTTTTTTTTTTTATCATGCAAACACATAGTGCTATTCACACGAGTGGTTTTAAATTGCTGTTGAATAGAAGGTTTGAAGTAGGATATCATAGAAGAAAGCTGAAGGTCAAATTGAAAAGCAAAATGTACTTTTGATGAATACAAATTTGATGTTATGTTCTGATTTACATTTTTAATTGTCTGGTACATGATATGATTTATTTTTGTTGCTAATATTACTCTTATCATTCTTCTTTTTTTAAGTTGTGATATCCAATCAGTGAATTTCTTTTTAAGAACATCGTGCTTTATCAAACATTGTGAAAGGCAATCAAGTGTTCAGTCGCATTCCATGTGATATTTTCTTTCGCCTTTATTACAGGTTGGTCTGCGGATTGAACATCCTCAAGAACTGATAAACAATATACAGGTTTGTCTGGAAAATTAGATGCGTGTGATTTTGGTGCAAAGTAAACTCGTACTGTTGTAGCAATAAAATGAGCACCACTATCTTACTTCTTTACAATTTACAAGGAGGCAAAGTAGGAGAAGGAACGGAATAAAATAGAGGTTTCTACAAATCAGTGAGATCCTAATTTAATCTCATCATTCTCAGCAAAATATTATACCCCAGCTTTCGAATGTAAACATGAAAAGCTTGAGACAGTTGTACTCTATTTTGCAAAATGGGTGGGGCAATTTTACTGATTAGATTTCTTGCTGAAGGAAATTTTTAGGTAGCTAACTCCAGCTTCACAGTTAAGTCTTGGAAGGTCATTCTCAACTGCTTGTTGTGTGCTATGAATTGGTTTGCTTGCTTGAATTGGATGGAATGATTAGTTACTAGTTAGTTATCAAAAACATTTCAACTTTCGTTTAGCTAGAGAAACTTTTTGTCCTAAAATACTTTGCAGAAGATACACTGTTCAATAACTTTTTTCTCCATATCCAACACACATTAAACATTTCTCACTCAATCCACTATTTATACACTTGCATATTTATAAATCTCCAATCATGTCCAATCATTCATTTTTCGTATTTCTGTATCAGATCAACTTTTGCCATTACATTTTGCATCTCATATCTAAACACTCTCAAACCTCATCATAGTTCTTTCAATATATGTTCATCATTATTCGCTTAAAGAAATAAAAAGAATCAAATTATCCTATCACTATTGAGCTCCATACTAATTGGACCCATGTGTTATTCCTAGTTCCTGCCACAATCTTTTGCTACTAAACTTTTAATCTTTTCGCATGCCTACAATTAGCTAATGTTCAAGGACTGTGAGATATGGATATGTGTACTTGCCTATAGCATCAAACTACAATTACAAGTGTTTTTTTTCCCCTAAAAAGAATAATTGTGTAAAATATTGTGCAGTATTCCGAGTTAGCTTGTGAGGTTCAGCGTGGCCGTGGGAAAGTACCTGTAGCAGATTATCAGATTGCTGAGAGGATTAAGACCTCAAGTGTGGAACCAATAGTTCGTAATTGTTACTCCTTTTGCATGTGTCCAGGAGGTCAGGTATTATTACTCCAATTTATTCCAGTAAAATGACTTCCTTATACCGTAATCTAGTTTTTCAATTGCTTTATCGTCTGCCTTTTTATTCTTTATTCCTCTTAGCCTATGTTTTTCCTCAAATTTATATGACCCTCGGGATGCAATCGATTTTTTTGTTTTTTTTTTTTCAAGAAATAAAATGCAGTAAAAGAAAACAATATTTATATTCAAATCTTTCCAGCTTATATTGTGAACTTGGTGTTCATGTGCACTACCCTGTGGAGCCCCATCAGCTGATTTTTCAGTTATAAACATTTTGACGCAGGTGGTTCTAACCAGCACGGACCAGTCGGAACTTTGTATTAATGGCATGTCATTTTCTCGGCGTTCGTCCAGGTGGGCAAATGCAGCACTTGTGGTGACAGTCTCATCAAAAGACTTCGAAGCTTTAAATTTGAGTGGGCCTCTAGCAGGTGTTGGGTTTCAGGTACTTTCGGGTCTGAATGTGTTTGTTGCCTTTTATTATATTCACTTGTTTTATCTATTCATTTACATAAAAACTTCGTTAAGGGTGACAGCACTTATTATTTGATGAATCATATTTAATCAACTTCTCGTTCTTAAGTTATTTATCAAACATAAATTGTGCTGGCATGCTCATTATATTTACAATATCATTTTTTTTGTTATGTTCTTTGTTCTTTCCCCTTATTTTCTGTATATACACACTTTCATTTTGAAGTAGTTATGGACACTGTTTTTGGCCCATTCAGAGAGCATTCGAGCAAAAGGCAGCTGTAATGGGAGGTGGCAATTTTGTCGTCCCTGTACAAACAGTTACGGATTTTCTGGAAAATAGACTGTCAGGTAATATATATATATATATATATATATATTTATTTATTTATTTATTTATTTCTCTTCTAATATACCCTCTCTACAACTCCTAAGGACTTATTTGCGTCGACATTTGTAGTGTCGTCTTTGCCACCATCCAGCTACCGTTTAGGTGTAAAGGCCTCAAATCTGCACGAGTTATTTCCCACTGATATTACAGAAGCTTTGCAGTCAGCAATTTCAATGTTTGACGAGGAGGTTTGAAATCTTCATCCCATTCTCATTCCGCAATTTTCATAATCCATCTGGTGTTAAATATCATTTGTGTATGCTGTATATTTTAGTCCAAGCTAGCCCTTAACTTTTGTCACTATCTTTGGATCTTACAGTTACCGGGATTTGCTTCCAGCAATGCTCTTCTTCACGGAGTTGAGGTACTATTACTAAACTTTCTCATTTGCTTGCTTACTCAAAAAACATTTTGAAGTTATAGTTTGTATGTATTTTTGAAGAAACAATATAGACAACCGGTGAACCATGAAAATCATTTACGGCCGTTCTTTTATCCTTGTTGTAGACGAGGACTAGTTCTCCCGTCCAAATAACACGTACACGTGATACGTGGGAAAGCACCTCTATGAAGGGGCTTTATCCGGTGGGTGAGGGTGCAGGATATGCCGGTGGAATCGTGAGTGCCGCCGTTGATGGAATGCATGCCGGATTCGCACTGGCACGTAATCTTGGACTCTTGAACGACTCCATAGGTTCAGTTGTGGGCAAGGCTCAAAATGTCGGATTTGTTAAATACTAACGCTTGTACTTTATGCTTCAAATGTTGTGTCTAGTCAATGCAAGAACCCTAGCCACAGGTTGAAATATATATGCACTGTAATTCACTTGTACAACTCATCTCCAAAACATACAAATTTAAAAAATTCAAAAGAAAATGTAAGTTTTGGAGTTTTGAGTTTGGATTTGAAGATAATAAAGTCTGACTTACTGAATTTGTCACTTCGAGGATTGTTCTTTAAAGGTCTTATTAATGCTTAATTTTTGTTTGAACAGATAAGTAAACTTAAGGTTGTACTATAAATTCAATACATAACAAACACGGATTACTGTGTAGTGTGTACTATACATTAAGAAAAATGTGTTCATTGCTGTATTTTCTGCATATAGATGTAAAAAAATTGAAAAATTGACACACTGCTTCACAAAATTTTGTTCTGCTTTTATTCCTCCCTTTTCTTTTTTTGTTCTTCTTTTGTTCCTTCACATGCAGCTCAAACTTCAAGGAAAAGTAAAAGAAAACGACACACACAAACATTGCAAAACACTCGATACAATCAGCAGTTGAGCCCACACTGCTTGGTGTCGGGCCCTTTGGCCCGCATCACAAACGGGTCGATCCGAACCCACAGCAACGAGAAAATGGATGCAAGCAGCACCGACCAGATGACTACAATTGTCGGTGTTCGGTTTTGCCTCCCCATCAGCCCCTTGAGGAAAGGGTACAAGTGTACAATAACCCAGAATGCAAAGAAGAGCTTGCCGAAAAGTGGGCCCCACGACTGGTACCCGTTGTTGATGGCGTCCGAGACTCCGGCCACGACCCCGACGAGGTTTATGACGAGGACAGTTGTCGGGGGTATGAGGAGGGTCGTCCACTTGAAAGCGTACAGCTCACCAAAATCCTCGTCATCCGTGGCCTTGGACGTGACAGTGAAGTTGGTGTCTATGCCAGCTAGGATCTTGAGGAGGCCCTGAATGACAGCGAATAGGTGGGCCGAGATGCCACCAATGACCCAGAACTGCTCGTTTCTCCACCACTCCTCGATGCTGACTCCGCTCCACCTCAGCTCGAGGATGCCCGTGATGAAGATCGAGAGGAAGAGGGCGATGAAGAAGAGGCTTGCGAACGTGCTTATCTGCAGTGCAACCCGAGTAAAGGTTCAGTCTTTTTTTTTTTAATTAAATTTTTGTTGGATCTTGGTAGTGAATGTTGAAACACAACCCAGTTTGTTTTGTCGTCGGGACGAATTTCGGGGGGCAATTTTATTTAAACAATCAGGTTTGTTTTGTAATATTGTTAGAAATGGACCTTTTCTTGCCA